AGCTCATTGTGGAGAGAAAGTGAGAGATATGTGTTGTAATGTGTTGTTTAGTTCATGAGAATAGAGAAAGAAGAAGAGTAAATGGAATTTGGAGGCATTAAGAGCTTCAAAAATTGGTTGTTCATGGTTGTTGGAGTATTGATGACAATGACAATCTTGTAATTACTTGAAGATGATGAGGGTGAGAGAGTAAATATGTTATTTTCGAAAAAAAAAATAAAAAAACAAATTGATGGTATTTTCGTGAATTATATGAACTTGTGGGGTGAATTGGACAAAATAAAGTTCCAAAAAAAAAGGAGGTTAGTTTTGTGGTTGACTTCAAGTTTCAGGTCAATTATGCAAAAAGCCCTTTAATCATTTATGAAATTTTATTTTTGATTTTCTATTGTGCTTTTTGTAAGGTGCATGTCTTTGTGCAATTTTGCAATATATAATAGTTTATATATCCATGTCGAATATACAATATATTTATCATTTTTCTTTATCCATCCATCTAGTTAGGACCTATTTGATTGGATATTAGATGTTGGATTAAACCCTTTTTTTGGAACGCGATGTTGGATTAAACCTTTTAGTCTATTTTTAACCAAGATTGATGTCCTATTTTAACTATACTGAGTTTATCCTTAAATTCTGTTCTATTCTGGATTTAGACTCTTCATCCGTCGGCTTTGGATAAGTTCGACAAAATCATGAGTGATGCAGAGGACAAACAAATTATTATGTTTCTTGATTACGATGGAACTCTATCACCAATTACCGAAGATCACGACAATGCTTACATAACGAATGAGGTAATTTTCATGATATTAATGTGTCATGTTATGTTCCACCTTTTCATTTTACTTGTTTATGGTAGATTTAGCTGTTTAAATAATTTTAAATAGTTTAGATTTAGTTCTTGAACTGATGTATATGTAACAGATGCGGGAAGTTGTAAAGGAAGTGGCTTTGTATTTCAAGACAGCGATCATCAGCGGAAGAAGCACAAACAAAGTAAATTCCTTAAATAAGTTATATATATATATATATATTGATGATAGTTTACAAAAAGTATTAATATTGATGATGTTATGTATGAGATATTTTGCTCTATCTTAAATATAATAATATAATATATTTGTTTGACTCTTTAATAATAATAATTATTCATGAGCTATGTATTTATTGTTTTTCCAGGTACAGAGTTTTGTGAAACTCACCGGAATTTACTATGCCGGGAGCCACGGTATGGACATTAAGGGTCCAACCAAAATCGATCAGGTTTTTCTTGTTTATTTTCCCAGAAAATTGAGATAGGAGATTTTTTTGTAAGCTTTTCTGATAAGTGAAATCATGGTAGAGTGACCAAGAAGTGATGTTTCAACCTGCAATTGACTATTTACCGATGATCGACGAGGTGCATTTTGTAGTTTCTTCATCCTCAAGTATTTTTATGCAATTATGCTGAACAAAATACTAGGAATTAATTTGTTATTATACATACAATTCAGGTTGTTGGTATTTTGAAAGAAAAGACAAGATCGATCCCTGGAGCTACCGTAGAGCACAACAAGTTTTGTCTTACGGTGCATTTTCGTCGAGTTAATGAAAAGGTAAAAAGAACATGCAGACATGCAGAAAAACTCGTTTCTGTTAAGAAATGAAGATGGTGGTTGGGACATATCCGGAAATGGACCAGACCACATCAGTACCATACCAGGCGGCCAAGCATCAGTCACTATCCTCCCTTGTATTTATCCATATGTTGTAGTTATCCTAATCATTATAGGATTAGGATAATCATCCCCTTTATTGTTGTAATCCTTATCTCCTAAGGAATATGCTTAT